AGAAGGATCCGTTTTGGCTGGCCAAGGTAGCTTAACAGCTTCGATCAGCTTCTTTTGTGCACACAAAAGCGGTTTATGCAACCGAATGCTGATCGCCTCGGCAGTAGCAAGTGTGCGGAGGCGCAGGCCTTTCGACTGGAGTGGAGAGACCCTGTATAGTATTCGAAAGGCACTGACTGGGTCAACCTCATGCCCACTATCAACAAGATGAGCCATAACTGAGCTAGTTATAGCCCCAGTACCGCCTCGACATAACCAGCGTGGTAGGTGTTCTTTAATGCGCCTCGACAGTTGCCGCGCCGTTCGACCGATGCAAGTAGCGCCACAAGCGCACTCGAACTGATAAATTACCATAGAAGCGGTCAGGGTCGATAACTTGTCTTTGTTGTAAATACGGATGAGTGGCTAAGTGGAAAAGGCACATCTAAGCTTGGCTGCTGGAAAAGTTGACTTGACAGCTGTTGAAAGGCTTCTAGTTACACGCTCAGCAGCGGCGTCTCCCTTGAAGGGTAGTCATATGAAAAGTTCTTTTTTCTCTGCTGTCTGAACCTGCAACTGGTCGGGCTTATTCTGTATGCTCCTAAAAATGAAACGATCAGGATGTCCGTTTTCGCGCAGCAAATTCCGAATGAACGTCAACTCATTATCCAACTTGTCTTCAGAACAGATCCTGTGGACCCTTGTGGTTAGACAGCGAATTAGCTTTCGCTTATATCTCAACGGGACGAAACTGTGAAAGTTCGTATACTGGCCACTCCAGGTTTTCTTCCTGTATACCTGCCGTTGGGTCGAGCCGTCTGCCCTTCTAGTTAACAGCACATTAAGAAACGGCAACTGATCGTTCAATTCCTTTTCGTAGGTAAATTGCAATGATCCGTGGGCCCGATTAAAACGGTCAATAACAGCATCAAGATCAACAGACTGGTCGGCCACAACAAATATGTCGTCCATATAGCGGTGGTAACATTCAAAAGCCATAATCTCCGCATGTAACTTGGTATTCTCTAATTTCGCCATGAAGACATCAGCAAACAACGGACCCAATGGCGATTCCATAGCTACACCATCCTTTTGTCGGTAGTAAGTGCCATTGAATAGGAATTGTACGTTCCAAGTGCAACGCAAAAGAAGGCTTTTCAAGTCACGCAACGATGTGCATATATTTGCTTTTGTTTCTTCTATATAGGAGCAAAGGTAATCGATCGTCTCGAAAAGTGGCACGTTGGTAAAACGCGATACAACATCCAAGGAAAACATTACTTTCTTATCGATGTTGCGATCTTTGATGCTTTCGATGAAATGAAAGGTGTCACGAAGGCTGTAGTGTGTAAGTCGCCGTCTTACTGGCTCTAGAATTTCCACAAGCCATTTGGCGACGGCATGGTAGGGTGAGTTAACCATTGATAAGATCAGACGAAGCGGGACACCTGTCTTGTGAATTTTCGGTAACCCATAAAGCCTCGGGACATTCGTGCCACTCGGCTTCAGGCTATCATAAAGTGTATTTGATATATGTCCATTATTCCGAAGATCTTGCAAGCTTTTAATAATTTGGTTTTCAATCCTCTCTGTCTGGTCTGTTTTCTCTAATCATTCGGGAAAATTTCGATTCGTCACTCAGAACCTTTTCGAGCTTGTTTATATAGTCCTTTTTGTCTAATAGAACGACTCCAATACCCTTGTCCGGTCTGCTCAGAATGATCGTAAATCCTTCAGTGCGTCAAGGTGTTTGCGTGTCAGTGGACCGTGAGTGTGGACATGGCACTTGCGATACTGGTAGCAGGTGTTCACTAGAGAACACTTAAAGCGTTCCAGATCTTCATTTGTCTTAGCTACTAGCCCTTTTGTTTGGCCAAACAGGCTTTCAAACTGTAACTCATAGTGAGGCTGATTGTCTTTGTGTTTGGGGGCGCAAAACTTTGGACCAAGTGATAGAACTTCCATTAAAGTGGAGTTCAATTTCATACTTGAAAAATGAATATGAATATATTAATGAAAAATGAATATCCTGGCAGATTCGGGAAGCAATTGCGCCGCAGTCGTATCTACCCGAATGCCGAAACACTTAGACGTCATATTTTGAACCAGCGTGACACGGTGCAATCCAAGATTCCCGAATTCGAGCGCAATATAGCGCAACGTCAACATGCGATTGACGAGTTAGCGTTGGACGTGAAATAATCATTCTTGGATTACGTTCAGTCTATCACCGCAAACCGTGTACGGCAAAGGCGTTTGGCTCTAACAAAGACGTTGAATCAGCATAAGCCGGAATCCACTTTCCCTACTAGATCTGAGAGGTAAGTGCACAATATTTCAAGTATGAAATTGAACTCCACTTTAATGGAAGTTCTATCACTTGGTCCAAAGTTTTGTGCCCCCAAACACAAAGACAATCAGCCTCACTATGAGTTACAGTTTGAAAGCCTGTTTGGCCAAACAAAAGGGCTAGTAGCTAGGTCAAATGAAGACCTGGAACGCTTTAAATGTTCTTTAGTGAACACCTGCTACCAGTATCGCAAGTGCCATGTCCACACTCACGGTCCACTGACACGCAAGCACCTTGACGCACTGAAGGATTTACGACGCAATGGTAAGATCATTCTGAGCAGACCGGACAAGGGTACTGGAGTCGTTCTGTTAGATAAAGAAGGCTATATAAACAAGCTCGAAAAGGTTCTGAGTGACGAATCGAAATTTTCCCGAATGATTGGAGAAAACAGACCAGACAGAGAGGATTGAAAACCAAATTATTAAAAGCTTGCAAGATCTTCGGAATAATGGACATATATCAAATACACTTTATGATAGCCTGAAGCCGAGTGGCACGAATGTCCCGAGGCTTTATGGGCTACCGAAAATTCATAAGACAGGTGTCCCGTTTCGTCCGATCTTATCAATGATTAACTCACCCTACCATGCGGTCGCCTAATGGCTTGTGGAAATTCTAGAGCCAGTAAGACAGCGACTTACACACTACGGCCTTCGTGACACCTTTCATTTCATCGAAAGCATCAAAGATCGCAACATCGATAAGAAAGTAATGTTTTCCTTGGATGTTGTATCGCTTTTTACCAACGTGTCACTTTTCGAAACAATCGATTACCTTTGCTCCTATATAGAAGAAACAAAAGCAAGTATATGCATACCGTTGGGTGACTTAAAAAGCCTTCTTTCGCGTTGTACTTGGAACGTACAATTCCTATTCAATGGCACCTACTACCGGCAAAAGTATGGTGTAGCTATGGAATCGCCATTGGGTCCGTTGTTTGCTGATGTCTTCATGGCGAAATTAGAGAATACCAAGTTACATGCGGAGATCATAGCTTTTGAATGTTACCACCGCTATATGGACGACAAATTTGTCGTGGCCGACCAGTCTGTTGATCTTGATGCTGTTATTGACCGTTTTAATCGGGCCCACGGATCATTGCAATTTACCTACGAAAAGGAATTGAACGATCAGTTGCCGTTTCTTGATGTGCTGTTAACTAGAAGGGCAGACGGCTCGATCTAACGGCAAATATACAGGAAGAAAACCTGGAGTGGCCAGTATACGAACTTTCACAGTTTCGTCCCGTTGAGATATAATTGAAACCTAATTCGCTATCTAACCATAAGGGTCCACAGGATCTGTTCTGAAGACAAGTTGGATAATGAGTTGACGTTCATTCAGAATTTGCTGCGCGAAAACGGATATCCTGATCGTTTCATTTTTAGGAACATACAAATAACCGACCAGTTGCAGGTTCAGACAGCAGAGAAAAAAGAACTTTTCATATGACTACCCTTCAAGGGAGACGCCGCTGCTGAGCGTGTAACTAGAAGCCTTTCAACAGCTGTCAAGTCAACTTTTCCAGCAGCCAAGCTTAGGTGTACCTTTTCCACTTAGCCACTCATCCGTATTTACAACAAAGACAAGTTACCGACCCTGACCGCTTCTATGGTAATTTATCAGTTCGAGTGCGCTTGTGGCGCTACTTACATCGGTCGAACGGCGCGGCAACTGTCGAGGCGCATTAAGGAACACCTACCACGCTGGTTGCGTCGAGGCGGTACTGGGGCTATAACTAGCTCAGTTATGGCTCATCTTGTTGATAGTGGGCATGAGGTTGACCCAGTCAGTGCCTTTCGAATACTATACAGGGTCTCTCCACTCCAGTCGAAAGGCCTGCGCCTCCGCACCCTTGCTACCGCCGAAGGGATCAGCATTCGGTTGTATAAACCGCTTTTGTGTGCACAAATGAAGCTGATCGAAGCTGTTAAGCTACCTTGGTCAGCCAAAACGGATCCTTCTGAGAGCAACTGCAATTGTGCAACTGTACCTCTGTCCTACTTCGCTGTTTGTTACTGGTTCATGCCTTTGGTCGACACGTGATCAATCTCATTTGAACTGATCGTTAATCCACTTGTACGCCCATTGCTATTTCATCCATATAATTGTACGGGTCTGAAAATGCATCACCGAAAATAATTGTTTACCTTCGTTCTTTTGTTCTTGATAATGAAATGGTAATATTCCAGTTACTGAGATGGAAATCACGGGTTGGATTTTAGATCCATTTGATCTACCGCTCTGCAATGAGGTTGTTAGCATCTAAAAAATTCTCTTAGAACCGCAAATTAACACGCTAACAAGATCCAAATTCATGCATTTTAAAGGGGATTTTTGGATAAAGACGGATGCCAATAACAAATATCCCAGATTCTGCGAAATAGCTTAAATAAAGTTCTTTGCTTTTTCATCCACATAATTGCTTGAATGTGGATTCAGCAGAGTGGTTTCTCATATAACATGTGGAAACAGTCTGGACGTCAGAGTATGTCAAGTCAAGTCAAACATTCCTTATGCACCTGAGCTGGTGCATTTTCTGCAAGTGACACTATCGTTACGGATGGTAATGTATATGAAATTCCTGTTGAGAAAAAAAATAAAAGGCGTGAATTTATCAACACTTCTCACTCGTGCAGATAATTTGGTATCGTACTGATAACTTTGTTTAACTCAACAAGCTATCGGGACAGGTACGGTAGAACAGAATTGCGGTAAGATGCACCTTCCCTGTCTCGGGTGGTGGGGATGGGCGCCCCCCGTTGGCCAGCCCCCGCCTTGCCCCCCCCCCCCCCCCCGCCCCCGGGCCCCCCGCCCCTCCCCCCCCCCCCCCCCCCCCCCTAAAGGCCCTGGGTGGCCGAGCACGGCCGGCCCCCCTGGAGGCCCCGGCCCACCCGGGGTCCCTGACTAAACCCTCCCCGATCCCCCCCCCAAGGCCCCCCCGCCCGACCCCCGACGACCCCGCCCCCGACGCCGCCCGGTGAGCCCCCCGCCCCGCCCCCCCCCCCTGCCCCCCCCCCCCCGGGGAGTCACCCCCTCCCGCGTCCCCCCCCAACCAACCCCCCCACGCTGCCCCGGTCGTGCGTAGACCACCCCCCCCCCCCCCCCCGCCCCAGCCCCACCGACGCCCGCGGCCCCCGCTCCCCCCCCCCCCCGACCCCGACGGCTGGTCGCCCCGGAGAGTCCCACCACCTACCCCCCCCCCCCCGTTGATGTGTGCCCGACCCCCCGAGCCGCCCCACGTCCGCCCCCCCGGGCGCACCCTCGCCCCCCCCCCCCACCCGCCGCCACCCCCCCCCTCCCCCGCCCTCCCGCCGGGGTTTCCCCCCCCCGCCCCCCGTCCACCTCCCCCTCAGAACCCCAGGGCCCCCCCCCCCCGGCCACCCCCATCGCCCGGAGCCCCCCTGTCCCCCCCCCCCCCGACTACTGCTCCAGGGCCCCCTCCCCCCCCGCCCCGGCGTCCCGTCCTCCCCGTACCTCCCAGAGGCCCCCCTCCCCCCCCCCCGCCCCCCCCCCTCACGGGGGAAACGGGCCCCACCTTTGGCATTGGCTCCCCGCAACCCCGGCGTCCAGCCCGCGGACGCCCCCCCCACACGACGCCTGCCCCCGCCACCCCCCGCCCGCCCCCCCCCGCCCCCACGCTGGTCTCTCTGCAGGTGCCTCCCCCCCCGTCCCGCCGTGGGGAGGCGTGCGCCCCCCCCCCCCCTTCCCCCGCCCCCCCCCCCCGACCCGTCCGGCGCCCCCCCCTATGCCTCCGGTGTATTTTGCCACGTCACAGTCTCCCCCCCCGGTCCGACCCCCCCCAAGGGGCCCCCGCTACTCCCCCATCCCATCGCCCATCCCCCCACCGTAGCCCCGTGCTGACCCTACCCAGGGACCCGTTGGGCGCCTCCCCCTCCCTCACAGGCCGTGCTGTTACTCAAGTGCCTCCGGGCCCCCCCGGGCCCGCGACGAGCCGGGCCGACCCGCCGGCCCCCCTCCGCCCCCGCTCTCTCACGTCGGACCCCGGCCCCAATGTGGTGGCCCCCCCGTCCCGGTGCCCCCCCGCCCCCCCCCCCCCCCCCCCCCCCCCCCCCCACCCCCCCCCGACCCCCGGCTCCGGTCCGGCCCCCCCCCCGCTGAATAGCCCCCCCGTGCGGCCCCCCCCCCGCCCCCCCGCGTGGAAGCCTCCCCCCCCGCTGTCCCCCCGCGGCGGGCCCCGCAGCCCGTTGCCGGACCCCCCGCGCTCCCCCCCCAGCCCAAAGGGGCCCCGGACGAGAGGGAGGCCCCCCAGGTGTCCCCCCGGCCTGCCCCTCCCCCCCCCCCCCCCCCCCGGCACCCACCCACCGCCCCCCGCCACCCCCAACCCCCCCCCCCGCCCCACCCCCGGGAGTACCGGGGTGGGTAGGTACCCCCCGCCCAGTGGAGCGTCCCCCCCCTGGTGCGGGGATTTGGTTGAAGCGGTGGGCGCAGCCCCGGGTGCTCGCGAAGCGCGCCCACTACCTGCCCCCAATTGTGCCCGGGAAAGTCCACCCCCTCCCCCCCCCCCGCTACTCCTGGGATGCCCCCCCCCACCCCCACCCCCGCCCCCACCGCCCGGCGGGCCCCCGCCCCCCCCTCCGTCCGGACCCCCCCCCCGGCCGCCCGCCCGCGCCCGCCTCCCATGGCCCGGGTCGCCCCGCCCCCCCCCTTGACGGCGGCCTCGACCCCTGCGTGCCCGCCCCCCCCCCCCGTCCGCCACCCCCCGCGCCCCCCCTTGGCTTCCGGGGGCTGGAGGCAGGCGCCCCCCCGGGCGTCCCCCCCCTGGGCCCTGGACCCCCCCCCGTCCGAGCCCCCCCCCCGCCACCCCCCCGCCCCCCCCCCCCCCCCCCCCGCCCCCCCCCCCCCCCCCCCCCCCCCCCCCCCCCCCGCCCCCCCCCCCCCCCCCCCCCCCCCCCCCCCCCCCCCCCCCCCCCCCCCCCCCCCGCCCCCCCCCGCCCCCCCCCCCCCGCCCCCCCCCCCCCCCCCCGCCCCCCCCCCCCCCCCCCCCCCCCCCCCCCCCCCCTCCCCCCCCCCCCCCCCCCCCCCCCCCCCCCCCCCCCCGCCCCCCCCCCCCCCCCCCCCCCCCCCCCCCCCCCCCCCCCCCCCCGCCCCCCCCCCCCCCCCCCCCCCCCCCCCCCCCCCCCCCCCCCCCCGCCCCAGCCCCCCCC